GCCTCTCGCGGACTGAGCGCGTCGCAGAGCGGCAGCGGGCCCCGAGCTGTCCCGAGCGCCGCGTCCTGGGGAGTTCCAGCGCCCCCGCGCCAGGCCCCGTGTACCAGAGCGTATCCCGGGGTGCCCTTTAGCTGCCCCCTGCGGACGGGAGCCCCGCGGGGCTGCTCCGCGCTCGCCCCGAGCAGCCCCGTTACCGCGGGCAGGTCCCGGCGGCCGGCGGGACGCAGGGAGCGGAGCGCAGCCGCGCAAGATGGCTGAGCCCTGCACGGCCGCCGCCGCCGTTGCGCTCTCGCTGCCTTGCGCGGCGCCGGTTCTCCTGCCCCTTGCTTTGGTGCTGATGCTCCTCCGATCCCTCATGCCGCCAGGAGCTGGTTCCCTCCCCTGACACACCAGAAACCGGAGCTCGTGGCCATGCTGCTGTCTTAGCTGTTCCGTTAGCTTCCATTGTGCGGCCCTGTCCGCTCCCGGTCCCAGCCGGGGCTTTCCCTGGGCGGCCAGAGCCAGCAGGGAGCACATTGGAAGCCTTTTGTGGACCTCGTGCGCTCGAGCAGCGCTTGTTGAGGGATTCGGGGCACATCACCAACAGCACGAGAGGCAAAAGGGCACACAGATAGCAAGGACAGGCCTGCAGCAGCCCCGTGCTTACGCTGGCCTAGGCTGGCGGGAAATCTGAGCTGGGCTTTCAGGGCCCTGAGCCTGTGCACATCAGTGGGTCAGTTGATCGGTGCCCCTGCACAGCCACACTAGTATTAAGGCAGAAGACAGACCCTCATCGGTGCATTTCTGCAGTTATGTGGTTAATTCTGACAGTAACTCCTTGATTTGAATGAAGGCAAATCTGAAAAGAGAATCCGTTGTACTATAGACAGCAGAAGCACCAAGGAGAAGGTAGGGTTGGAGGACAGACGAATGCTATAAAAGCAGCGTCTACTACTGAGACTAAGTCATTTATTTTCTTCCAGATAGCCTTTTAACCTAGTCTCCTGCAGCCTTTGCAAGGGAAGGAAACAGTATTTCTGTTGGTCATTATTTGCAAATCAGATGAATCAAGAGCTAAACTTTTTCATTACTGTAATTGTTTAATATACCTATAATTTGTTTTATAGATAGGACTTGAAAATAATATGTCATAACTTTGTTTTGGCAGAGAGGGAAATTTTTTTGTATGCCTATTTGTAGAGGTGTGAGTTTTCCTTCCCTCTTCAGGCATATCTTTATAAAATATTTAATAGAGACAGGCTACATTAAGTAAGATCGGAATTTAGCATGCACTAGTTAAACTGAAAACAAGTAATGAAGTTCATGGGATTAGAGTAAATTCAGCTGCTTTGCTGAAAAATAAGTTACAGAAGAGACTTGGTATGTTCCGACATCTCATATTCATTCAAACTGATTTATCTAATGCGCTGATTGCATAAATTCAAAGTTCAAATTTTGAGATTACCTATTAACTCTCATTTGGCCTTGCATTTATTTACAGTACATGTTACATGGTTAGAATTTTCCTTATGTGCTCTTCTGACAGTCTGCTTTGTTATAAATTAGACCTGCAGAATCTGTCCTCCTCTCTCATTTTAATCTTGAATCTTATACAGTATCATTATTCTGCATTAAAATGTTCAATCTAGCTCCTTTGTGGCATACCTAACATTAGCGTTCAGTTTGGGTTTGAAATACTGTGCGTCTGTTCTCATGGTCCATTACTCATTTCCAGTGACATTCCTATTACTCATGGATTTAATGTCTTGACCTAAAATGATTTACAAGATATGGTGGTTTCTCCTGTTCACTAGAATATATCCTGAGAAATTTATGTAGGTTTAAATAATGCTAGCTGAAATCTCCACTTTTTTCTGATGGATACTGCATAGAAAAATGAGCATGCAAAATATTTTGTAAAATGTAAATATTAAGTGTATTCTGAAAAAGATCTACACAATTGTTTATACTTGCAAAAACGTCTACCGTGCTATGTATGTCTAGAAAACTTAGGCCATTGTGAAAGAAACAATTTTATAACTTCCTACATGTGCTCAGAAGTTAATGAAAGGGTCACTACAATTAAAACATTTCAAAACATTACTGTTTTCAAGTGGAAACATATTAGCAGGACTATAGCAGGCACTTCTGCTTTCCTTCAAAACAAGCGAGGCTTTGTCAAGTTTAGTTTCTATAGGGGAGTTCAGGAGTGAAGGCCACAAGCGGAATTCTGGAGCCCAAAGGAAGGTCCAGCAGCACTGAGGTGGCTCTAACCACCCAGGATTAAGACACAGTTTAAGAAGTTCTCCAGGTTCAGGAACACCCCTTGTCTAATTGGACAAATGTGAGAAGTGACTATTAAAAAGGAGAAAAGTGAAAAGGGGGAATTTTAGTAAATTGCTGCAAGCGAGAAAAGAATAAGGTAGGCTGAAAATTCTTAGGGCAAGAAAAATTCTACATCAAGTGCTGGGAAGACGAGTATCTCAGTTACTTGTCTTGAAGTTCATCCATATGGCTCTACAGAATGAGGTGCTTTCAATAATAAAAGCTGTCATGACTCTTGCAGACCTAAATTATATGCAAAATTGTGAGACTGTCATGAAAAGAAAGGGGTCTTAAAATCTAAGAACATTAGTTATTCTGAATAGTTTTATAGTAGCAGCTTTAGCAGACAGCACATTTTCTTAGGTTTTCTTATACAGTTACCTGTATAAGTTCCCTAATATTAATTTGGCTTAATTTAAATAGACCTGTGGCAACATTGAACAGGGAGGGCAATCAGCTGCTTCATACATCTAGGTTGCAAATCTTCCCTGCAAATCATGGCTCTATTTAAGTACACGGTAACTTGAATGACATGTCGGAATGGTTACATTTTTCCAGCATATCATTAATGCTGTTCTGGCAAAGTGGTTGGTGGAAATAATCACCAAGGAGGTTGGAAAAGTCATCATGGAGATGTGCAACTGCAAGTAAAGTACACGTGCACTTTTGATTTATACTTCTGTAAACTCAAAATACTCCTTTCACACCTTTACTGATTACACAGGAGCTGTTCACCCTATCAGCAGGAGCCCTAGTGAGCTTCTGTTGTGCTGCTGCAGATGCTGTGAATGGAATAAAGTGCTTCTGTAAGTTGCACTGTTGTCTTAAGTATTTGCCAGGAAAAACAGATAAAAAACTAACCTCATTTAACAGGTAGGCTTTAAACCTGCAAATGTATTATTATAATCTAAGCAAGCACCATGTCACGTACTTCTGAAATACCGAGTTTGTTTCGTTTTAGCCCGCAAATTCACAGACAAGCATGAATGGATATCAGTTGACAATGGTATCGGAACAGTAGGAATCAGCAATTTTGCACAGGTATTGATTTTTTTTCCCCCTCCTATCCAAGCCTGCAATATTTACTTATACATACCTGCTCTTGTCCTTGCTCTTTGGATGGATACTTTTTTTTTTTTTAATTATTATCATTTTACTTGTGTATGCTATAGACTGAGATTTTGGACTTAGAGCTGTAACATTGTGAAGTTGATGCTGTTTCAGCAAACTCTGATAAATTCTTAATTACTTCAGATGAAGCCTATGGAGAGCTGAACTTGATGAGAAACTGAATAGTTCAGCTGAATTTAAAACCTGTTTTATCAGTTGAGTTTTACTGGGCATTTAGAGCGCATGATTATACAGAGAAGTTGACATGTATTTTTCAGGCCAAATTCCACTTGAACTTGAATATGGTGCAACTCCTCTGGCTAAGGAACAATTATGAATAGAACTACAGAGTGGCATATATTTCTTAAGCTAAGACAGTAGTGGTCAGGGTTTCTTTAAGGAGATCAGCAGATATTTTCTCATCCTGCCTGAAAGAAACTCTACATAATCTGTATCACTCAGCCTTAGGGTTATTAATACTGTTATAGATAAACAACAATTGGGCATTTAGAGCACTATTTTCATAACATTTAAATATATATTTAAAAAGTGATTTCCATTATGAATTTTTAATCCTTAAAGAGATTGAAAACTAAATTGGGAGATCAGGAGAGAAACAGAGAAATTGTATGTTTCCTTGGTTCTGAAGTTACTGTATCAAATATATCCTGGATACAGTTTCTTTAATGTATGTTTTGATTCACTTGTTTTTCTTTTAAGGAAGCATTAGGAGATGTCGTTTATTGTAGTCTTCCAGAAGTTGGGACCAAGCTGAATAAACATGGTAAGTTCAGCTAGAGTTTCTAATGAAATAATTATAAGACTTGCCCCACTCAGTGTTTGCAAAGCTGTGTTTTATGAATTAACCTTTATGTCTATTAGTAACATTATACATCTTCTGGATAAAAAATTAATTCAGATATTTTTAAGACAGACAAAATGTTTGTTTTCAGATACTCTCTAAGATAAAACTAAACAAATCCTAGGCCAATCCATAGGAAATAGCAGAGACCAAGACTCCTGAACTATGGCTCCATCTATTCTGTAGAGAAAAGAACATTTAGACCTATTATAGCAAGAAGTGGAGCCAGTTTTTCTAACTCTATCTGACATCATGCTGTAGGGCTTTAACTAAAGGACTAGCCAAATACAAGGTATATCCATCCATTCTACAGTAGCCATGTGCTTTTACAGTAGCCAGTGTTACACAAGTTCCCTAGAATAACTTGAGGGGCATAAACTTCAAATTCAGTACTTCTGAACATTGCCTGAATACTGAAGATTTTAACCTCTTTGGAAGTTTTCTAGTTCAGTATTAAGACACTTCTTTCATTGGCCAGATTACCATCAGAATACCTGTCTGCAAACAGAAACCATTACATATATTCCTTCAAGGAGCATGAAATCTTATTTTGTGTTTCAGATGAGTTTGGAGCCCTGGAAAGTGTGAAAGCTGCTAGCGAACTCTATTCTCCTCTCACTGGAGAAGTGACTGAAATTAACGCTGCCCTTGCAGAGAATCCAGGGCTTGTCAATAAATCTTGTTATCAAGATGGTAAGATATAATTTTTATCTTTCAATAGAGAATACCACCTGGATCTTGAGAGTGTTTCTTGCTATTACAGATAGATAGGAGATTTTAAATTCTACAAGTTAAATAGTTTAGGATGGAATGTACTGAATATAGCTCAAGCCCAATAAAACTAATAGCATGAAGGCATTCTTGTAGTCTTGTCCAAGAGTTCACAAGCTGCCCGTAACAGCTCAGGATACTGCGGGGTCAAACTTTACTCTCTCTAAACAGCCTTTCTTTAATGCTACTGACAGAGACAATACTGCCTGAGATAGATGGTCTGACTTGGGCTATTTCTTAAAGAGTGTGCATTCAGTGTATCTAAACACTGTTTGCTGGCACAAGACATTGCAGAGCTTGAATGTCTACCAGGTAACATGAATGTCTCTTTATTGTAGGATATTGGCAACTCTGTTTTTCCTCTAATTTCTTCACTACAGGTTGGCTTATCAAGATGACTGTGGAAAACCCTACTGAACTGGATGAACTGATGAGTGAAGATGCCTATGAGAAATACATAAAATCCATTGAGGAGTGAGCTGGAATACTGAAATAAACCTGTATAAAATATTTCAGTGTAACTTGTCATAAATGAGTGGAGACAACCTAGTTTTGGCAGCCTGAAAAATACATGACATACAAGACTACTGCAGTACTAAAATGTTTAGTATCTGCAAACTGCCTAGGGCTTTTTTATTTTAATTTGCCTGATTTGTGTAACTTTGAGACTTCCAATATATGCTATTTTTTTTGAAAGAAAATAGATTTGTTAAAATAGGTACGTCCCAAGTGTCATTTGACAATCAAGTTTAGTATATGATAGCCTTAGTACATTAATATGGTAACTCTGTAATAGGCACATGACTTATTTTGTATCCTGGACTACATCTTGCCCTGAAATACTTTTCTACTACTCCTGTGGTAGCAGAAAAGCAACATCTCCCTAAACTCCTAGTTACATTTGCCAAGATAATACCAAAAGGCAGAAGCTATGCAAGCTACCTCTCTGCAGGATTTTTACTTGCCTTCTTTACAGAACTAGAATCCTGTATGTGTTCCTTCTTCATTTTATTACCACATCAAATAATTATGCCTTTACAAAAGGTATAGTCCTTGTCTTTTGACTTACTTTTTTTAGTATACAAAAATCTCGCAATGATACAGTTTAGCAGAACTCTCAAGTGGACTGTCCAGGATATATTTCTTGTCTGGACTAAGCAAGTATTATGTATGTCATGAGTAATTAAGAAATTTTACATCTTAAGCTTAGCAACTGTGATTTCAGCAGATACTTTAGAAAACTGTGTGATCAGTAATACTTTGGCATATAACTTGTTCCCATCTGTAGGAACTCTAGGCACTCTGCTGTCATGAAGATATAATGGGAATGAACTGAAACTTTTATTTCCCAAACCAGTAAATGAAAGCAGCAGACTCCATTAGATTTAACATTTAATGGATTCACAAATGTGCATTCAAGTTGATGCAACATGCAAGGACAAGGCTGAGTTTTGCAGACCTGGATTTAGGGAAAATGTACAAGTGAAAGAGTTCTCCACTAAAGCTTTTTTTCCCCATCCAATTTTACAGTAGTGGTTGGAAGCTAACCACAAAATAGCAGGAATTAAAACCGAGTATATTTAAGTTGATCTAAGAGGAAACAGGCTATTTAATCCATGTAAGATGATGAAAGTAGAATTAAAATTCTTCTGGCAGTTTTTGAAACTGCAGCCCTTCTGGCTGGGCTGAAGTGCATTGCTGGCTTTTCAGAAACCTCTCTAACATATATAGACCCTATTTTAAGGTCTGAAAGGATGTCATAATAGCCGGTGTTTTGTGAAATGTAAAGATCTAAACTTTTCCTAAACAACTCTCAGATGACCATCGCGCCCAGACACATAGCACTCTGGGGCTGAGGTGAGATGATCTCCTGCTATGAGTTTGAACTGGAAGGTGACTAAGATAAAAAAGTAGGTTTGGCTGCTCCAGAGAAGTGCTGACTTGACAGTGGTTGATACACAAAAAGCTCTGTTAAACCTGAACGGAAGTGCTTTTAAAATGGTCAGTACTTAACCGTTATTCAATGTATTATGCAGTATTTGTGAGAGACTTGTGACAATGGTCAAGGCCGAAAACACAGACGTTTAATCTTTGTTTCTGTTACAGACTCCTGAGGGAGTTAGTTTGAGTCTTTTAACTGGCCGGGGCATCTTCTGAAAGGAAAGAGAACATTTCATTCAAATCAGAATGAGTGCAGGCAAATGAATATAGGAATGCGTGAAAATATTTTGTTTTTTCTTCCATCTCTACTCTCTTCATCTTTATGACAGAGTAATTAATGAAATGCCCTTCATTCACTGCCATATATGACCTTTTTGGATCTCTCTTTAAGGTTTTGCTGAGGGCTCAGGAATTCTGCACCTATTTAAACCAAAGGATATCTATCAAAACGACTATTGTTTTCCTATCTTTTATAAGCCACCCAACTGCCTAAATTACATGCTGAAAATAAATTCACGTGTGATTAATGCTTTCTCCCCAAGTAGGGCTCCTAGACTTCAAACAGTCCCACAGCATCACTAAACTCATCAGAAGCAAACTTAAGACAGATCAGCGTGCACTGATTTGAGCCAGAGCATGCAACAGCAAAAATGCAAAACTTGCCAACATGAATCTATAAAGAATCTTAATAGAATCATTAAATAAGATGGATTGAATATGTACTAGTTCTGGACTACATCATACTTAATTTTAAATGTGTTTGTATAAATTGTAGGGGAGGGGGAGGACTTGTTTCACAGTATTTGCTCCTATAGAAAATGAATAAAGGAGATGATTTTTCACAAAACAGTTTGTCTCTGGCCTCTTAAGTCTTGATTCTTAGGGACGACCTAAAAAAATATCTTTAACAGATGAGCTAGAGAACTTAAAATTCATAGTTATTGGATCCTAAATGTTATAGACTGAGGGGGGAGATGGGTTTTATAGCAAATTAACCATTTCCATGCAGCTCTTCTTTTCACTCTCCATGCAGTTTTGAAGATTTTTATCTGTTTCAAACCTGAAAGTATTGCATATCTAAAATGCTACAAGATTGATCAATAACATGAGTTTACCACAGGTGGAAAACCTCAATTTGTCAAATGATGCTGAGTCTATATGAAGCATTTCAAGTTACACCAGAAATCATCGGATACTTCCACCGCCTGAGGGCGCTCGGTGTGTTAAGGAAGACAGCGGCCCAGTGGAAAGGGCAGGGAGTTCTGGCACTTCTCTGCTGCTGCCATTTACTCTCTAAAAGGCTCTGCATTTTCTCCCTGCTTTCAGCATCACTTGATTTTTCTAAGTCAACTTCAAGACCAGAAAAAATATTAAGCCTCTCTTGCTTCACTGAAAATGTTTAAGAACCCTTCCTCCCAGAACTCTCTGTAACAAAGTAATTCACTGCCACCTCATTTCAGCATCTTTTTTCTCCCTCCTAGTCTCCTCTTCCTGTTTTCAACAGCAGGTCTAAAATTGTCACTTGTCAAGGCTGGGATTTGGGACTGGGGGGTGGGTATCTACCTGAGGTTTTAGACAGTTCCAAGCATCATGCCAGCCACTACATCACTATGAATCTTTTCATTAATCCATCAGGGACTCATCAGAAGCTTTGGCAAACATATTGGTGAATCACAGCTACAGACAAAACTGCTTTTAACATTAATGGAAGCTTCATCAGTCTTAGAGACTGCAGAATTCACCCACAGAACTCGGGACCACTATTACAGAGAACAGTGGTGTAATTTAGCATGGTGAAATGCAAATGGAGTGATGGAAAACTGAGCATCTTTTAGAAGGACTAAAAAAAAAAAAAAA